GAATCGATGAACGGACATAGCGGAAAGAAGATCCCGCATAGAAATCTCTTATGATCTTCTCAGATACATCATGGATGGCAATTGAAATAACCAAAGTTATCTCAATAATAGATTATCCCGTTACGATCCAAATCCCACATAGGAATTTTCCCAGATATAGCATAGATTCCGATTGGGATTACCGAAAGTTATCCCAAAACCAATTGGGAGTCTCATTTTTATCCTAAACATAAACTAAAAGATTTATAAATGAAATTATATGAAGTTAATGTTACAATACATAATATGCATGCATCTGCAAAAAACGTCTCAAAAACGTCGTTTGGACATCTTATTGTCTCCAAATACGTCTTATTCTCTCGAAGACATCTTAGGACGTCTTAATGTTCTCTGGATAGGTTGATAGCGCGTAACACGCACGCTTGTAAAGTATAACTATTTAAAGTATCCATTTAAAGTATATTTCGTTCAATCGTAGCGTAAAAGAGAAACCGGGAAAATCTTCGGGAAAACGTTGGCGGTGATTAAACAGGATATTTGTATTTACATCTTCCATTTGGAATCGTATATTTGAAACGTTACACCCTTCTAACCAGAACCTACGTAGATTTCCCACAGAATTCTATATAATACATTACATACAGACCGCGTACTTCTCGTATATCAGCCTAATATATAGCCTCACATATTAGCCTAAATATTAGAATAATACGCGTCATCCTAAACACACGTGTATCAAAATTGAGACACAGCGCATGCGCGAAACAGGAGCACGTGTAATGTTGTTTACATTTTTTGCGTCGTCACTTTGGATCCCGAATGTGGTTTTCCACCCAAGAGGTTTCTTTGCGAACTTTCACGTATTGTTCGATCTGTTTTTCGCACGAAAATACCGTTCAGTCCGTATCAGACGATGGGCCGGAGATCGAGGTTGAATTGAAATTTGACTGACTGCGAAGTTCACTAAATTTCACTAAATTTGAATTCAATCAACTTTGACTACTACTGATTGGTCCAATGAAATTTCAATCTCCATCCCCAATCCGTAGTCTGAGATGGGCTTTAAGCTGCATGGTTAAAAGGGTGTCGAAATATGACGATGTACGAAGTATGACGATCATCTTTCTTCAAATATCTTACAACCTGTCACCGTTCGAGCACCAGCAGACAATCGCATTCTTTGCGCTCTTGTTCCGCGCATGTGCTCTGACTTATATAAAAGCTGCGTACGTAGAGATCGGGTAGAGACGTTCGATAAGCAGCAGTGCGCGGTCCGGTATGTCACATAGAAATCCGTGGGATTTCCCAACTGGAATCCACAATTATTTTAGGAAATCGGACCGGGATTTTCATTACGTATCAAGAAATTTTCTATGCGGGAAGTTTCCCCGCCTTCGTTTCTCTTTGTTCGTCGCTTTGTTCGCAATTCAATAATCGCATTTCCGGAGTCTATTTTACGGAGAAAAGGTGGAGGACGAGTATAATTCGGGGCGAAAGAGTCGGGCGATATAGTATCGATACAGTATCGATACATGGGGAAACGGGATTTTCCACCGGTAAAATAAGGTTTCTTCCACAAATTACGGGGGAAGGCCTGATTTTTCTGGGAGAAATCCTTATTTCCCTTAGTATCGATATTGAGTCGCCCGACTCGAGGCGAAATGTAACAACGATTCCTCTCAAATGCGCGTTTGAAACGTTCGATGTGCGTATTTCTTTTTTTTCTAAACTCGATTCGTTGTCGATTCGCCACTTTTACGGCGACATCATTCCGAACGTACGATAATACGAATATCTTCCTCTCTCTCTCTCTCTCTCTCTCTCTCTCTCTCTCTCAGAGAGTCGACGTAAGTCCATTGTGACGAGCGCACATTACTCGAAATTAGAGTTGGCCGATATAGTATCGATACATAGGGAAATAAGGATTATTCCCAGAAAAATAGGGCTTTCCTCCGCAATTTGCGGAGGAAAACCTAATTTTTCCGGAGGAAAACCTTATTTCCCTTGTATCGATACTCAATCGATATTGTATCTCCCAGCTCTACTCGAGTTTCTACTCTAATATCGACTATAAGTATGGTCCTTCAGAAAGTGGTGGTAGCATCGAAGCGCTGATACGGGCGTCATCGTCGACATCATCATCACCATCGTTAGCCTCGTTAGCGCGACATTACATCGATCGATCGCATCGATGCGTCCGAGGCGGCGGCGGCCACGCGACGACGGCGTCGACTGCACCGACCGGGAGAAACCGGGAGAGGAAAATCCGGCCGGCTTCGATATATATCGGTGAATATCTGCGATAAGGGAAGCCGCGCGAAATACACGCGCGCGCAAGTCACGTGGCTACGAGCTACGCTCGGCGATTCGTTGCGAATGGAATGGCGCCGGGACGGGGATCGAATTGTAAGAGCGTGTATGTATGTGTGTGTGTGTGTGTGTATATGTGTAGGATATGCGGAGATACGCGTTGGTATTTTGGCGCGCGTGTGTGTTCGTATATATATATATATATATATATATATATACATATATATATATATATATATAGTTACTGCTGTCTCTATTAGAGTTGAGCGATACAGTATCGATGCAGCGTCGATACATAGGGGAACTAGGGTTTCCTCCCGCAATTTATGGGGGAAAAGCTTATTTTCCCGGGGGAAACCTTATTTCTCTATGTATCGATACCGTAACGATACTGTGTCGGCCGACTCTCTATATCGTCCGGGGATCTCCCCGCGGGGGATTCGCCTAAAAGCGCGGCCCTGATGGTCTAACGTTTCGCTGGGGAAGGAAAAGAGCAGAAGAAGAAGAAAAACCACTGGGAAACCGGGTATTGGAATATAGAAAAGGCGCGCCCACGGTCGGCCGCGCACACACACACACACGCTGTAAGTGTGTTACACTTACGATCGTGATCGCTTGCGCCGACTAATCTACGCCCTTCGGAGGTCTTCGGCAATCTCCACGCGCGTCCGTACTAAAGTTGGACGATACAGTATCGATACATCGGGGAAATCGAGTTTTCTTCCCACAGATTGCGGGGGAAAACTGCCTATTTTTCTGGGAGAAATCATGATTCCCCTACGTATCAACACTGTATCGCCCAATTCCAGTCCGTACGATCGCGCGTGTGTGTGTCTCTATATCGTGTGTACGTGTATGTGTGTACATGTGTGTGTTGCATGTAGACACCGTGTATCAGTGTGTCTCGCTGTTCATTTATAATCCTAATTAGCGTATCATTACAAAATCTTACAACTATTCAACAAAAACCAATCTTGTAACAACTCTTATCTACTTGTTCGTCTTTCGCATACACGCCCCCTCTCTCTCTCTCTCATTTGACCTCACATTCCGCTCGTCATCCACGCGAGAAAGTCTTTCACGCGCGCGCACTCTCGAAGCGCGGAATTTTCACGCGGGAGGGCAACGCGAGTCGCCCCACCAAGTCGCCTCGTCAGTTATCGGCACCGTTCCTCGCTTCGTCTGTCACACACACAGCTATTATCGATTACGCATCATCGCTGCGCATCGAGGCGGTCTGCAGGAGAAAAAGCGCGCACACAGGCGGCAAAGTGGCCTTTCGCGAGCGGTCTTCTGAACTTTTTACACTTTGCTCTCTCCTCTCGAATTCTACACGTCTCGTGCGCTCATCCCGACACAACCACGCGCATATGTGTGTGTGTGTGTGTGTGTGTGTGTGATATTTCTCATGTTCGATAAAATCCACTCAGAATTTCTTCACGCTGATTTAGCTCCCACATACTGTATACATACAGTACTGTAATCCCGTAGATTATACATTTAGTATACGGAACTAAATTATTCGGTATTTATTAAATTAAATTATTTGCTATTGCAGTAATCAAATATTTCGTCGGCAAATATTCACCAAATTTTCGGTAATTTTTACCCTTTTTTCAATGTTACAGCCAGAATCTCGGGAAGGAGCGCAGAGAGAGAGAGAGGGAGAGAGAGGAAGAGAGAGTGTCGTGCGCGCTCTTTTCCGCCGCAGACGCATCCGGATATCCCGGATATCCGGTCGAGCGCGAGATTGCCGGGTTGAGTACGTTCGAAGTTCGCACAAAAATAACGCGGGCAAATCGCCAGACCTCCCGTGAGGCAACGCGCATCCCTCTTCGGTTTGCTTCTCGCGCGCACGCAAAAGGGAACGGTCTCGACGTTTTAACGACACTTCGAGAGTGGAAACGAGAACGACGCGGCGAGAAGAGGCCGGGGATTCGCGCGATGGAGGACCGTCAACGTCGCTTCAACGTCGAAGCGCGGCCGCCGCCGTTAATCGTCTCCGGCCTCTCTCCGGCCGCGTGCAAACGCGAAATCATCGGCCATCACTAATCGACGTCGCTGCTGCATTAATCGGACAGCTACGGGTAGTTTTAATTATGTAACGAGAAGCGGTTAGAACAGTCGCGATAACCTTCGGTCTCCCTACCAGAGTCTTAGATGTTAGAAAGAGAAACGACATTGAATGGAATTGATTGTTCGATCGGTTTGCCGGAAGCGCACGATTAATTGTAATTTTTTGTTTTTTTCGTAAAGCTTACCTTTTTTTTTAATTTTTTTTTCGGAGCAACGACACACCGACTGGTTTTTCCGGAACGGATATAAAAAAATTCTTAAAATAGTAAAATTATAAAATGGATAAAAATATATTATTAGGATATTAACAAATTTATGATTTAAAATAATATTTAATGAATTGATTTCAATAAAATTATAAAGAAAACTAAAAGAATATGAATTGATTCAAATAAAAAATTAATATAAGAAGAGTAACGGTATTAAAAATAAATAAATTAAATATAGAGTTGAATTTAAAAATTGAGGATATTTTATCGTTAGAAATTAATCTGGAAAAATATAGAAAAGTAACTAAAAGACCTCTAATTATAATAAGAAATATAATAATTGAAAATAAAAAAATTTGATTTTCAAAGAGAGATATAAAAACATAGAATTGAATTAAAAATAATTATTATTAATAATAAAAATTGGGTGAAAAAAAATTAGAAAAAAAAAGACGCGGAATATTCGCGCTGTGGTTCTCGCGGATCTCGCGAAATTCGCGAGGAATCGCGAAGTGTGACCGTTCTGTTTCTTCGTAAGTGGAAAATCTTCCGAAGTTCACGAATGTGGAGCTTTCGAAATATTTACGGAGGACTTTGCTCTCATCGTTCTGATCGCCAGCTCGGAGAAACGGCAGAAATATTAGAGACTGGTATGCGCTCGGTTATCCTGCGAATTTTGCGCTGTGAATTTTATCTTCCGATTCGCCGAAAAATAAATTGTAAAATTGTAAAATTACGGAATTTCAAGTGTAGTTTAGCCAAGTGAAAAGTACGGATTAAATAATTTATTTGACGGTCGTCGGCACTTAGCCGGCATTGCGATACTATCGTGGCGACATTTTCTACCAACCTATCAAGTAGCACGTAAAGTTTATTGCACAAAATGTTTCCTCTAACTAATCAAGTTGTGTGTAAAATGTAATGAAACGTCTTTGAAAAGTTAGTCGTACAGCTAATGGCAGCCGATGAAACAAAGTGAAAGACACATATGTCGAATTTTTTACATTTTTACATTTTTACATATTCCATTAAGATATGCGTGTGAGAAATATTACATACGTTGATCACGTTAAATTATAATTTCTTGGCGTACTTATATAAATTATATAAATTGTTCATGCCATGCCTGATCGTTATTGAAACTAACATTTCGCAAAAATTCACGTCGAGAAGAAAGAAAATCCGGACGAAAACTCGAACGCGCGAAGAGAACTTCACGTGCGAATTTCTCGTGAATGCTCGAGCGTTGCGTCGTCGCATTTGCTTATCAATCAGCAAAAGCTTGACATCACAACGTATCCCAACTAAAGCGCAATCCATAACGACAATTTGAGCCTCCCTCCTCCTTATCTCCATGGAAAAAAACGGCGTATTTTCGATGCATCGAATTCAATGTGGCTTCTCCCCACTCGATTCCACCCCCTTCTATCTAAGACTCTAATCGTTGCGAATACACCTCTCCCCCCCTCTCCCACCCTTTCTCGACGAATCGAGATCGTCGATCGCGACTTATTTCGTTATTATTACCATTATACTGCTAGCAATTACCGAGATAATAATAGTAATCGATGTCGATGCGGCTGTACCTCGTTTATTCGTATAAGAAATATTCAAGATAAAAAATATCGACAAGTTGACACACATACATACGGTAAGATACCTTAGAAAAGATATGTAACTGACGCAGAGCGAGAGTGAGTATTCCTCCTTTCGCGACAAGTAAATCCCAGCCCCTCCTTCTTCCCTAGAAAATATACCGGGTGAGACTCCGACGAGTGGACAAGCGGCGGTCGACGACGATCGTCGTATCCCCTTCGAGTTCCGGTTACGATCACACGCACCAGCGTGTTTCTGGCGCCGAGAGAGACACGCAACCATAATAAGGTGGTGGTGGCGGTGATGACGATAACAGGGCGATGTTCTCGGCGACAGTGGTCGTAGTTTCCGCTTCCTCTTGTCCAGGTCGAGCTTCGCCGGTCGACCTTCGGGATGATCGCGTACGATCCCACACGGCGGAGTCGGAAGAAAGGAAAATAAGAGAGCGGGAATCCCCGATCCTCTCAGCACGAGGAGGAGAGAAATCATATGTCGACGCGATGCTCGGGCGATCTACGGGGAGCGTTTAACGGGAACTGAAGACGACGAAAGTCTCTCTCGGGGAGGTCGGCCGTCGTCCGGCCGAAAAGGCTCCTTGGACGGCCGTTCGGCGGGTTTCGGGAGCTCCCGGGACTTCCTGGGGGCGAACCGGGTCACCAACGGCATCCTCTCGGTCGAACCTCGCCCCGAGCTCTCTCTTCTCCGCTCGCGACACGCGGCTGGATACACACACACATCGGCGGATTACATGACGACGCACTTCTCCTTGAGTCTGATCGCGTGGTTGCTCTGCACCGGCTGTAACGACACCGAGCGGTTCTTCTCGAGGGTGAGCAGGTCCCGGAACAGAGTGTCGACGTTGTGATTCGTCTTGGCGGAGGTCTCGAGGAAGCCGCAGCCCCAGTTAGCAGCCTCGGCCGCACCCTCGCTCATCGATACCTCTCGAACAGAAGGGCTCTCGTCGCACTTGTTGCCGACCTACAGCGCGGAACAAGCACACGGTGTCGCTGAGAGGATGACAGATCGGGCGGATCGTCCTCGGGAGGGGCGAGGAAGTCAGGATCAGGCACGATCTCGCGTGGAAGCGCGTTCCTCGTGCACGGATAAACAAAAAGCAGCTCCCACGAAAACTACACTGATAAAAAGGACTGGTAATACTTACCAAATGCAATTAGTTTTTTTAGAGATTGCGACGAGAATATTTAGTAATTGTTGCGAAATTTGATATTAATTACCGAGTATTTAGTTCGCCCGGCAGTATAAACGACTTTTATTCAGAGGTGAATCAACTAAATAAATTAATTAAATTAAATGAAATTAAATAAAATTGAATAAATTAGTAATTACCAGCATATATTTAACATCTGTTATTAAACGTTTAATTATTATTGTTAAATGTTTGGTAAGTGATACAAAATCATTCACTTCCATTCTTAAAAAATATTTGGTAACTATTAGTAAACATTTATGACTCCTATCTCTTTCTCTCTCCTCTTTCTCCGTCTCTCTCTTCCTTTTACTCACTCACTCTTTATTCTCTTTCTCTTTCTTCATACAAGGATACATTTTAAAGACGAGACATAAAGATACGAGAGCTTGTAGGACTTATCGGTTTCTACTTGATCATTGAAGTAAAACAGCACGGATTGCGGTCAATAGTCGAATGGAGGTGACTACAAGGTCGAAGCTAAGAAGGATTTCTTCACATATGAAGTGAAAAAAGTATCATCGAAATGAAATAGAAATGTCAAGTTATCTTAAGATAATTTACGTAGAACGATAGAATTTCTTTTGGCAAAATGATAATTACTGAAAATAATTTTCCTTACGGACTAGATGTTTAGTAATGGTTACCAAATATATCTCATTTCTAGCTATCAAAATTTGGTATTAATTACCAAAATTTAGTTTAATGATCTAAATGTATAGTTCAAGCGACTAAATCTTGATTCTTAAAACTATATATTTACTTCATCCGATCAAATTATTTCGTAACTGTTGCCGAACGTTTAGCCCGCGATGTTTCATCGAATTATTTAGTAATAGTTACCAAATATTGTTATATATTACCAAATCCTTCTTTCAGCGCACCTTTCATCCCGCTCGGCCGGCTTCGTTCACTTCACTCTCCAAGATGAATCTCGGAGAGCTTCGTCCGGTTACACAGACGTCATGCATATCTGATGCCGTCAATGCTTGTCAAATGGTGGGTATTCGAATTTCATGAGCTCGTAGCATCGAGTCACGGTGGTCAACGCGTTAAATATAAAGAAGAAAACAGGATCGAGTCGGAGGATCTCTTGGATTCTTCCCGAAACGCGAATCAAAACCGGAAGGGATTTCCGGGCTTGCCGGCATCGCTTGCTGCGAACGAGTATGCTTACCAGCATAATTGGTATCTGCGAGATATCCTGGCCCTTCAGTTCCCTTATCACGGCCCAAATCGGTCGCAGTTCCTCGAGACTTTGCCGGGAGCACACCGAGTACACCAAGATGAAGGCGTGACCTTTGCTTATGGAGAGCCGTTGCATAGCGGGAAACTGATGGGATCCCGTTGTATCCGTGATTTGAAGTGTGCATATGTTTTTATCGCAACTTATCACCTGTGAAATAGTCATAAGTTTCACGGCCCTCGTGAATCCGGTCCGTGCGATTATGCTAGGATCGAATCGAACCAATCAACTCGGATCGCAAATAAATCGAATCTGGCCTGTTATTCTGTACACACATCTATCGAGCGCTATCCGACCAGTAAGTGCCGTTGCGCAGTTTCTTTTTTTTTTTTTAATTATATAGATGCACAGTATAAACACATATAGTTGCGACAGCGCTGGGAAATTGAGGGTTCGATTTTCTTCTGCGCATGCGTTGGCTGTAAAACCAAGAATATGGCGGACTGCCATAGCAACACCGGCGAGTAAGACAGCACAACTGAATGTGTAACACGTTTAATAATATTTATACTATAATCGTAATATAAAATGAATGTGAGAGGTGGTATCTCGTGTATGCCTGCTACGTGCAAAAATATTTGTGGACGAAGAGAAAATGAAATAAGTTTCTTCCCATCTCCAAAGGATAGCGAAAATATGTTAAGGTTACGTAAAAAGTTATTACGTATATATAGTGATTAGTGAATTAATATTTATGGACCTTAAAAGCTTCTATATAATCATATACAGAATTTCTCTGAATACAATTACTTTACGCGAAACACTACGTCTCTTGATGCCGTTCATATTCAGCGTCCATACAACCCTCAACATGGCTGACAGTCACGTGACTGATAACCACTGACATCAAAGAAGCCGACAGCTACTGTCGCAACTGTACATAAACTGTAATAGATGTGTACAGAAAATACAGTCCTTGAGCACTTATTATGTAACTATTCAGAAAGGTTTCCGACAGAAATCGCTCAATTATTCCCTAGAAAATACAATAAATCACCAGGAAATGACTAAACGATTCCGATCGGTAATCTTTCCGTATAGTTCCATAACAGGTACTCCGACTACAGATCCTGGGAAAAAAAGGTCACATATGAAATTTGCTTATATATGACTATATACAAAGTGTCCCAAACTAATCTCGGTTCCCGTGATGTGCAAGTAGAACGGGTGACACTGAGCAGAAAAGTCCTATACCATTATGCAAATAACACGCAAAATTTCGAGTTATCATTGATTGAAAATGGCCATGTATAGAGGCTTCTTTAATTAATAACTCAACAATTTGCATGTTATTTGTAAAATGGTGAGAGACTTTTTGTTCCGAATGGTCTGATCTACAACTATTGTACCTAATAACAAGTTCAAGGTCCGAGGATTAAAGTCCAATATACCGATGTCTGTCGTTAGATACAATAATCGTCATATATTTGTAGATCAGGCCACTCTGAACAAAAAAGTTCTGTACCGTTTTGCAAATAACACACACATTTTTGAGTTATTGATTAAAGAAGCGTCTATAAATAACGATTTTCAATGATTAATAGCTCGAAATTTTGCTTTTCTGATCAGTTTCATTCGTTCTACTTATACGTCGCAGAAACCGAGATTAATTTGGGACACCCTATATAATCATATATGTCCACACGAAGAAATACTGTTATTTACGAATTATATGCAAATACAATCGAAGTAAATGGCTTTTGGTTACTTGTGTTACCGACAGCACATAAATATCGATATTTAATTAAGTGACGTAACGTCATTTTTTTCTTTCGTATAGACATATATGATCATACATGTAACCATATGCATGGGCAAAATTCATATACGATTTTATATAATTATATATAATTGCATATAATCATTTTTTCCCGGGATATCACGAAAGCATGCGGAAAGTTTTCCGATCGAAATAATTCTGTTCTCCCCAGAAAATGCAACGAAAAAATAAATCTAGGGAATAACGATCCCGATCAGAGTAATTCTGTTACTCTCGAGAACGCAACAAGAAATTTAGGAAATAGCTGAACCACTTCGATCGGAATAGTTCAGTCATCTCCTAGATTCCAGTTTGTTGCATTTTTTGAGGAAAACGGAATTATTCCGCGATCGGGAATCTTTCCGAACAGTTTCCATAATACTTATTTTGCATCTTTCATTCGACTGGAAGTTTCCATTCGGTTCGATTCGGACGCCCAGCTGAACAGCTGAATCGAATTGGACCGCCTCCAGCCAAATGCCAGAACCGAGTTTCGCGCGATTCCATCGACAATATATCGACAATATATCGGCACATTTCTCGTCGCGCACACAGCGAGAGTCCCACCAGCGGCGTCATTGCATCAAATGTGCACACATAACTCCTTGCGCATATATGTGTGCGTGTGTGTACCTTGAATTTCGCGAAGTTACATGTGTATGGACAAAACGGGCATGACACTTTCTTTTTTATGAATTTCGCAACGCATTTCGTGTCCAATAGAAAAAATATATTTCTCGGGAATTACTGGAAAAACAAATTCTACCATTGAACGCGAAATGCGTTGCGAAATTCGTAGAAATTTCGTTGTAAAGTAACGCAAATATTGTGTTAAAAATTAACATAAAACTAATACGTTGAATTGTAAAATATGTTATTTTAACATTTACACATATTAATTATTAGATATCGATACAACACAAAATGTTGATAATATGAATACAATATGTTAAATTAAGATAATTTAAACACAATATGTTAAATTAACATATACGGATATGTTAGAAGTTTTACACAAAAATTTTAACAAGGACTGATTTTTACCACAAATATGAACTGCTTTTTTTCGTGTGATAGCTAGCGTGTTAAGATACTTCAAGTTTGCTTGATAAAACTCCGTTCTGCCGTCAATATTTCTGGAGATGTACGTCTATCAGAATTGACGCGCCTCGCCTGGTATATACATATGTACGTATGTCTATATATATATACCGAGATTAGTTTGGGACACCCTGTATATAAAATACACGGAAGGTCACATACGGGAGATCGCTGGCGAAATAGTCGCATCGTGATGGCATGGTGTCACAGACATAATTGAGCTGCTGTCACGTTGCCATCACTCGAGAAACGCAAATAACTATATATTGCAAATCTTGCGTTATCGGGCTGCTTCGAGAACACACTCATCGTGTGCGAATCAAATCACCCACGATGAACGGGGGTGTCATCGTGCGGTGATAATTGACGCGATAATTTGAGCACATCCTGCCGTTGACTTATCACGTGCTTTTATCATTAGGCGATATATGATTATACGTTAATTTGTTGCACGAAATATAAGATCGTCACACAATATGACGTGTAACCTTAAAGCTCCGGAATAGTCGCTGCGACTGTCCTTCTTTAAGGGGGGAGCCTGGTTTACAAACTTAAAATGTTTGCTTTTTCTTTTTTGCATAAATCGATAGTAAAACCCGCATCGAAAACTTTAAATGCGTTTTTCTCGAAATCACGTCTTTCAAATTTGTATAACGTCTCAGAAAAAATATTTGACCGACTCACCTTTTACAAAGTTTTTTAGCTAGCTAATAACCTACTCCTTGATAAACGAAAAACGTTTTTAAAAAAATGTAACTAAACAATTGTTTTTTTCATAAAGAAGTCGAAAATTTCTCATTAAAATCGCAAGTTTTTTCTTAAACTCAAGCAATTTTTTTAATTCTGCACTTTTTCTTGACTTTCTTAGTTTATTTAGAGTAACATTTCGTAAAGATTAATAGAAAATTTTGGTTTTTCATTTCAGATAAAAATTAGATCCGCTAGACTTTACACAAAATAACAACTTCGGCTGCGCCGTGCTTTTAAATATATTGAAATATAACAATGTAAAATAGCGTCTTTTTAATAAAAAAAATATATTTGTATTGTATACAGATGTCATAAAGCAACCCTAAAATTATGTATGTATCCTCTTAGTGGTTGCTGAGATAAAATTTCGCGAAAATCGTCGTTTTTTCGGCGTCTTAAATCAGGTTCTCCTTTAATGATGTCAGAAGTGAGAAAACGCATGCCGAAATTTTCTGCGTTACACTTTCAAACGAAAAGACGTATTCGCAAAATAACAATATTTGCGATCAATTCAGTAAATTGATTAAAATCGATTAAAATTAGACAAACACTTTTCTTTTTTACTTGAACGATCAATTAAGTACTCGTAAAATCAACATCGACGAAATCCTGAGAAAAGAGGTTGGAACAGAAGATTCTATCCCGAGTCGAAATTTTGGCCCTGTATTAAATCTTTAATTAAGTCTAAATTCTACAACATAGTAGGAGCTGAGATAGTAAAATAAGTTCAATTTCAATTCTAATAATATAATATAACCCCTCACTTTGACCCTGATTATAATCTTAAATTTCCATTTTCGCTGTTTTAGCGTTAAAATATTATAAAATGGTGAAGGTAGCGTTAAAATTCAATCTATAGAATTGAAGGTTCGAAAGAGAAGTTAAAAAGTACCGATATCGTCGAAGTGAGTTTTTATTAGTCTATATAGATCGTTTAAATAAGCGCAAACTATTCTTAAGAGCGTCAGAGTATCGTCGAAATTTCGACTCGGGATGTCAGATTTTTCTACCATTATTTATCGATTCAGTCGTCGACTCACCTGTCTGTAAGTGTCCTCGATGGTCGGTATGTAGGACTCGCGGAAAGATCCTTTCACGAAACGCAGCACGAGCGAACTCTTGCCGACGCCGCCCGCCCCGAACACGACCACGCGATAGTCGTTGCTTTGCTCTGGCATCCTGACATCTGCCGTCCCGGCGACGTAAACCCCCGGCACTCGGGGTCCCTTGTGTGCGAGGAAAGAGAGAGAGCGAGAGAGAGAGAGAGAGAGAGAAGACACGATGTAAAAGTAAGAAAAGAAAGTACTTGGACGATGATGAAAAGAATAAGGAACAGGGAATTAAATACGGAGAATCGGAAACAGAGAATTAAATTTCGACGTGTATGGTAAAAAATTTTGTGCTAATTTCACGGTCCAACCAAATTTCTGTGTTGATTTAACCCAAGATGAATATGTTAAGAAGTAACGCACATATTACTTAGAAAATTACATAATACGAGAAACGTGATACTTTTTGACACTATTTGAAAGTAAATTCTATGTTAAATCGACATTTATAATGTCAAATGAAACACAAATACTATTCTCACGCATCGAGAAACAAATTTGATTTTTCAATTCTTTTTCATCGCATTGTTTTTAGAGTATCGTCAATGATTTTGTCTAAAATATTCTTAATCATATCAGCTGTTTAAATGATACAATTAACAAAATCAATATCACATTGAATGTTGTTTAATATATTTACAATTTTTTTTTAATAATTATTTCTTACGAACTTTTAAATATGCTTTTCCATCGAAAATAAGCGATAAAATAATGCTTTTAAATTTATATCTTCATTCGTTAGAAATACTGTCATAAGATACTTGATGTGTTTATTTCGTTACTTAAATATTAATTATTATTAATTATACTTTATATGTTTATTTCGTTATTAAATATTAATTAATTTTTTTCATTTCTACTCATTTCTTCAAAAAGTAACGAGTGAATTTATATCTACAATGCCCCCAAGTAATAATAAATTATAAAACAATTGATAATATACTATAATTTGTTAATAATAGTGACTTTTAATTGGAGTCTGAAGTCTCCAGGTGATCGTTTACGTAAAAAAAAATAAGGTGACTACATCCGGGTTAATCGAAGACCGCTAGATTTAAAAGAACTCGGCGTGTGTCGACTCGATTCAAAGTTGTGCAAACCGATTGCACAATATCGGCGACCCGCACTCGGTCGCTCGTTCGCTGTCTGACACTCTACGATCATTTACAAGTTTTACAGTTATTTCTCCCTCGATCTTATTTTTCGACCTTATTTCTTATTCAATCTTAACAGTTGCCATTTATTAATTTTCTATACACTATTTGTGTTATTTTATTTCATTGCTTGACATATTCACTTTGTGTTAAATTAACAGAAAAATTTGTGAACGAACCGTTTGGGATGTGTGAAATGTGTTGGAATTTAACACAAAATATTTCATTGTATAATAGCATTTAGAAGTTGTCGGTTTTAACCTTCGAAATGTCCAATGATCATCAATGTACAAACCGACAGTCGGATTAAAGTCGATCGTAAAAGCGATGATCTCGTTCTAAAATGTTGTTATTTACATCTTATTCTATATATTCCTTTTATCGCCTTTCAAATCGTAACTTATTTCTAACATTTTATTTCCTAATTCCTTATATTTAATTTCTCGTTCCTCATTTTTTTCATTATAAGTTCGGTGAGAGGGAGGGGAAGAGGGAAAGAGAGAAAGATACCGAGAGAAATTTCACTAAAATTAGTTACTTTCGACCTCAACTGTATCTTTCTTCCAGTTTTAATCCAAAAAATAGCAGCAGCAATATGCATATATAACGTTATTATCATTGACAAGCCACAACATTGTAGCAACCCTTGTCAGACAAACAATTGTCTTAAATATAATTTTTTTCTCTTATGCGAGTATAGTTGCAACGAATACCAATTTTTTTTTTAATGTTGAGGTGTGCGGAGAGGGAGGGAGAGAGAGAGAGAGAGAGAGTGTGTATGCAGCCATTCTGCGAATCAACCCCCTCGCAACCCTCGGTTGCCGCTCGATCTGTCTTACGACACGCGAGGATATATAGGATGTTCTGGAATCAATCGAGGTATTCTTTCAATCACAGGAATCTCATTAAGTCGGTTATCAATTCAGAGACCATTTTCCAGCGGCGAAAATGTGGCGAAGAGGAAAGATCATTCAATTCAAATCGTTCCTTTCGCTCTTTAATTACCACGTGTCTCTCAAATCCAATCACGAGGTTTACTCGGGGATGATTCGCAATTTGATTTACCCTGGTAGAAATTTCGTGCAGTTTTTAAACGATTAATGAACAGTTATATTAACTGTTGCCTAGTAACTGGCATATAAAACTGTTGGGATCCTAATTAAGATGTGATGATATGTCCTGTAGTTACTGGGCGCAAAAGATGTGCAAAATCTGAACTCATTTACTGACCAAAAAACTGAGCAATAATTGACAAAAAACTTATTCAATTGATTGATGAGCAAATTTATTGCTCATAAAATAGGCAGTTTTATGCTAGTAATAATGGATATTGTGTGCATGCTTGCTTACTGTAAGTAATTTCAAGGTTAATAAAAATCGTCGTACAGTCGTAGACATAAAAGTTATCTGATTTTTTGTAATAAGTTCCAGAACATAACTGAACGAACCAATAAGAAGCTTATTTCTGAGAAAACTATTCTCTCATTGGATCATTTTTAGGTTGCCAAACTTATTACAAAAAGTTGGATAACCTTTATGTCCACGATTGTACTGGAAATCTAAGGTACGTTTCTAAGATAGTCCGATGTGTTCTCGTCGCAATACAATTATGCTTGCTTTATGTTCCGCTACGTGTTCACTCATTCTTTATGTAGTTTTACGAATCGTCTTTGAACAATAAATTTAATACAATTTAATATAATATAATTTTTATCATTGCGCGTGCGTGTGGTATAGAACTTAACGAAACTCTGTTTAGTCCTTTTCCAGTTTTCGCGCAGTTTCGATACGTCTATGAAATGCAGTGATATTAGAAAATAACCGGACAATCGCCAATGCAAACTGCAAACATATTTTTACCAAGAAAACTGCCTCCAAGTACTGAACGAAACTCTAATCGTGCTCTTGTCTATTTCCTACACAGTGTTGGTGCAATTAATGCGAATATAGTAATACTAGACAGTAACTGATTGTCTAGTAAAACTGCACAGATTTCAACCAGGGGGCTTCTTTCTTCTCGATGCGCCGAGAGAAATCGGCTCCGCGCCGGAATCGGCAATCGACAGATCCGCGGCAAGAAGAGAGCGGTGGTTTCGCGACATCCCGTGTAAACGCGTGCGCGCTCACGCAGCCTCCGCTTCGCCCACGTGACTAATAATCTGAACCCACGAAAGGTTATATCCGCCCTTCCGCGCTCTCGTGACGTATTCCTCGCGATGACGACACCCTCTCGCCCACGAAGCCGCGTTATGTCCGCGTACGCTGTCTCGTTGGGCTTCGCTCTGCAGNTGGGCTTCGCTCTGCAGCTCTCCTTTCCCCTCCCCCCCCCCCCCCTTCCCGCCCCTACGTCACACGATTTTTCGACTTTGTCCTCGACAATTTCGAACGGATATTTTAATCTAATTAATCCCGGAGTAATCTGTGATAGACTGTGATTGATCAATTCTTTAAGGCTTACAGTTTAAATTCTCATTGTAGACCCCGAATTTTATTCGAATGATCTCGCTCTCGACGAGCATAAACAGCGCCGGGCTGATTTCCGGAGGATTGCGGCAGATTTCATCATACGCACGGAGAGCTGAACACGTTGTGTCCTCGCCACGCGATCGACGATCACGTCACGACAGGTCGTCAAAGCCGCTGTGATCGTTTCGCGGCTCCACACTCAGTGGTCACAGTAAGCAACGATAACGTGACACCGTATCGATCGTCGGGAAACACACATCGCGACGCCTCGCGTACACTTACCCCCCGCGAATCAGGCCCCTCGATCAGCTTCGCCGAATTTCACCCCCCAGCAGCCCGAAATTGAAATATCGGTTCTACATTAAACCTTTGATTCTTTGACACAGTGGAAGCTGAGACAGCAAAACAGCTTCCATTTCAACTCTAATGATATAATTTATTGAACAGTAGATTGTTGTTATCTAGATTATGAAAATTGTAGATGATCATTACCTAAATTGTAAATTGTCATTATCTAGATACTGTAGATTATTATTACCTAGATTGTGTAGATTATTATATTGTTATTCAGATTATTTAATGTTATTTATTTATTCTATCTATATTTTGACTCCGATGATGTCTTAAGGTGGTTAGTCTGTCAAATTACTTCCTTAAATTTGTTACACAATATTGACCTGTTCTTTTTAGCTGTACTGATTCGAGAAATTTACGCACATTGAAGCATGATAATCTCGTACGTACGCTTTATATATTTCAATGTGTATGTACATTTCTTGAAATAGTGCAACGAGTTCAGCTAAAAAGAACAAATATATCGGAGTCGGATGCCGGAACGCAGCTGATAGAACGTTGAGAGAACTCGTTTTCGACAAAATAAATTCTCACTGGATTATCGGCCGCTGCGTTTTGACATCCTACTTTGATATACGACTTATCGTATAACAGGTCTTAAGAATCCTCGTGTAAATATTAGCTATATATTGATAGAAATATTATCCACACATTCGTAATGCTAGAGAACGCACGATTGATCATTCGGAAACTCGCGATTAAAGATGACATATGATGATTTTTATGTGTTCCTTCGGGTTAAAGTCCTGTTTTTAACTTCTATTTTTAGTTTCTTTACTTTCTCTCTTTATTTTCACTTATCTCTAATTATCTATGCACTTCTATTAGCTCGACTGGCGTATAAATAAAGAATTAATAAAAAATATAAAAATAAATATCTCTATGTTTCTATTATTATATGTATGTATGTTTTGATTTCACTTAAAATTAATATTTATTACTTAATTAAACAAAGTTATAGGGAAGTATGTTTCTTCGTTAAATAATAACCTTATGTAGGAGTCTTTTAAAACAGTCACTGAAAATCTGGCACCTTACGAACCGATTACTTTAAGTGGGGTCTGCAATGAGAATTTAAGATGTAAGACTTGAGAAATTGACCAACCACAGTCGAATTACAGAAGAAAACTTAATTGTGATTGGTCAATTTCTTAAATCTTACATCTGAAATTCTCGTGATTTCGCGTCGAAACGAGTTGCACAAAGTTGCAGCGTTGAAACTAAATCCGTAGAATTCAGGGTTCAAGTTAACGGGCGTCGATACCCGTCCGGGGTGCGTTTTATTAATTTACAAGCCACCCGAGGTGAAAAATTTACACCCAAGAGTGAGCACGAAGTATTCTTAGAAACGTCAGGGCAACATCAACATTCCGACTCGGCAGGATTCTCGCCAGCGTCGCAGAAATCCGTCACACGAAACCGTCGTAACCGTCGTGCACACTCCGGACGAACCCGCCAACGACGACGACGACGACGACGTGATTTTCACGACGAACGACTTCGTTGATCCCATGGAGACGCTCACCGACGACACGAGCGTCTTCGCACCGAGAGTTCGCTGAGAGAGCGGCACGGGGGAACGTCGTCCTTCGGCGAGGACGACGCGGCGGAGGCGCGTCGAACGCTGGTTAACTCGACAGCCGACGGACGGCCGCCTCGCGTCCTCCGGGTAGGCGCTCTTTTTCCTCGCGCTTTCCGTCGGATTGACGCGCAAGAAGCATCCCGAATATAGCGAATACAGGAAACCCGACGGTGAGGGGAATTGCGGACCCGGCAAGGCGGCGACGAAGAGTGCCTTCCAGCGGGGAACACGCAGTGTCACACAGTGTGAACACGAAGCTATTTCATTGTCTACATATTTATCCAAATTATCTACTAAGATGATATATAGCCAATAAAATAACACTTTCTGTGAACACTTTGTGTTCCTTGCTGGAAATCACCTGAAATCTGATCATCAGCGTTCGGAATTTTCTTAGCTTTATTTCGCAAGTTGTCGGAAGTTTTCTGCGCTGACATTGGATTATTCCTGATAGATCTGAAAGGACGATCTAATCCTCGGCTCTCGGGAAAAAAAACAGATCCAACAGTTGCAAATTAATTACGTTCCGCATGAACGTAGCCATTATTATGACGGTATCGACATAGTAGCGGCGTTCGTCGCATTCTCTCTCTCTCTCTCTCTCTCTCCCCCGGGCGATTGCGGCAGTCGCGTCAAATCGTTCTCGAGGTGCTCGACGTCGTCGCGACGCTACGCTTACGTTGCGTTACGCTGCGTGACGCGTCGCGCCGAGCACGTCACGGACGCTGCGCCGACGAGGAAGGACGACGAAGAACGGACAGACGGACGGGACGGGGAAAACGATCGGAAAAGAGGCACGGATAAGCGAGGGAAATGCGAGAAACGCGCGCGGGGATGTTATTCGCGAGTTAATAAAAACCTGCTGCTCCTGTAGAGCGCGACGGAGACGTCGAGCCCTTGTCCTCTTCTACCCTCTTCTTCCACCACCTCCTCCTCTTCTCTCCTGCTGTCTCTCTTGGGGCCTCTCGTCCCGGATCCCGGACAGGCGGCGCGCCGGATCGCGCTCTCTCGAAAACTCACGGACAGCAGCAGCAGCAGCAGCACCGAAACGGGTCAACCGGGGGCCGAACCGGACGACGGAGAAGGCGGCGGCGATCGCTTCTCCTCCTCCTCGCGTTGCCGTCGTCGTCGTATCACGCTCGCCTCGCGGATACCGGAGCACTCTCTCTCTCTCTCTCTCTCTTTTGTTACGACGTCGCTCGTTCGCTCGTCGTGCTCGCGTTAGTACGTTCGCTCGCTCGCTCGTCCCGTAACTGAGTGAGTGAGTGAGTGGGTGAGTGAGAGTGAGTGAATACGTGAGTGCGTTCGCCACCCCGACGAGAGTGCGCTGCACACACGGACGACGCACCCCGAGAGAGGGAGAGAGAGAGAGAGACGCACCCAGAGAGGGAGAGAGACCGACGTCGTCGTCTTTACTTGCTTGTAAGCTGAGCGAGAGAGCGCGCGGCGACGGTGGAGGCAAAACGGCTGAGCAGCGCGGAGAGAGCGCTGCGCGCCGTCACAACCCCCTGAAGTACGCGTCCCACCCGTTCTCGCTGTCGCTCGCTCGCGGCTACCTTCGCGGCGGTATTGCGCGCACAGGTGCGAGCCCAGCCGATGCGCGATGATCGTTTCACTTTCACGGCCGATTCTCACTCGTAGTCTCTCTCTCTCTCTCTCTCTCTTTCGTGAAGTCGCCACCGATTTCTCGCGAATTAATATATAACGTTGCGGGGCAAGTCGTGCCTCTCCCCCTCTCTCTCTCTCTCTCTCTCTTTCTTTCTCTTTCTCCCTTCGTCGGATACTTTTCAAGTCGGCTTGCCACTTTTTTTCGGCGCTTCGTCGAGCTCCGCACGCTCACGTGAACTTCGACGGTCACTCGAAGTGAAGATGAAGTACGCGCTGTTTGTGTGTGCTTGTATGAGCGTGTACCTGTGTGTGTGTGCGTGCAAACGTGCGCACTGCCGCGAAGAGCGCGGCGGAAAATCAATAGCGTCTCCGTGTGAGAGTGTGCGCGCCCGTTCATGCAGCGACGGCGCGACGGGACGGTCTTGCGTTTGTGTACTTCGGTCGCGAGGGGTGTGGAAGACGCGGAGGGAATTTGGCGAGAGACTGAATTCGCGGGGAAACGGACGCGAATGGAACCCTCGCTGCCGATTTTCGTGTTTTTCTCACAGTTTAATTACGTACCGGTTGCGACAGTAGCTGTCGGCTTCTTTGATGTCAGTGGTCATCGATCATGTGACTGTCGGCCATGTTGTGTACGGGCGCTGAATTTGAATGATATCGAGAGACGTAGTGTTTCACGTAAAGTAGTGGTAAAATTCAGAGAAATCCTATATATGTGATTGTACAGAAGCTCTTAAGCTCTGTAAATATTAATATCATTGTGTACACGTGATAACTTTTTACGTAACCTTACCATACCTTTTATTATCTTTCGGAAATTGAAAGAAACTCATTTCATTCTCTCTTCGTCCACAAATATTTGGGCATGTAGCAAACGTACACGAGATACCACCTCTTGCATTCATTTTATATTACGATTATAGTATAAATATTTTGAAATGGGTCATACACTCAGCTGTACTATCTCGTTCACCGGTATCGCTATGGCAGTCTGCCATATTCTTGGTTTTACAGTCAACGCATGCGCAGAAGAAAATCGAACCCTCAATTTCCTAGCGCTGTCACAACTGTACGTAGTTAAACTGTGGCTTCGGGCTTAAATTCTCGTTGTAGATCCCGCTTAAATAACTTTAAACGTGAAAACGGTGAAAAATAATGTTGATTAATGTCTGTAATTTCTACTTCTAAAACGTTCTTGTCTTTTGATTTGTGAAACAAGTTCTCGACTCTCGATTGCACGTACATATGGATATTTCTAAATTTGCAAAATTATTAAACACGGTGTTGTTGCGTATTTCTTTTTCATCGAAAACGAATCTTCGATAAAGGAACGCCTCTAAAATATTCGTACCGCGTGGTATAGCAATTAGTATTTTAATATCTTGAAGGGTAAAGTTATGTATCTAGACAGATCAATCTTAAAGATAAGTAAAAATATTATTCTTTCTTTCAATTATATTATAGAATCACATTTACTTTTGTCTCTTACGTATATAAAAGCAGACCTTATAAGAAGATTAACAGTGAGTCCAATATCGCTTAAGAACTCGCTCTATGTACAAAAACTTGCGGATCACAATTAAATCGCAAACGGTAAACATCATAGTAAAACTCAGTCTTTGCTTAAGATTCCTTCATCAGTGGATTCTTTATCACAGGATCGGTGCCTTCGCAGTGGATGGTATCGTAGGTCCATTTGCGATTGTTCCTGGACAAAGTAAAATGTTAAATAATAAGTGCTTTTAGCTCTAAGCCTTAAAAAACTGACCAATCATAATCAAATTATAGAAGAATAATCAATTGTAATTGGACAATTTCTTAAGACTTAAAAATTAAAATTCTATTGTAGACTTACCTTTAGTCCTAGTCTACTAATAGGTGCTTTAAGCTCTAAGCCTTAAGAAATTGATCAATCACGGTCGAATTATAGAAGGAAAATCAATTATGATTGATTGGTTTCTTAAATTTTACACCTTAAATTCTCATTACAGACTCCGCTTTATCAATCAATTAGGTGTTGGTCTACAATAGGTATTTTAAGCGTTAAGCCTTAAAAAATTGACCAATTACAATTGATTATTCTCCTATAATTCGACTGTGATTGATCAATTTCTTAAGGCTTAAGGTTTAAAATACCTATTGTAGACTGACATTTAACCGGAATTGCGAGTGGCCCTTAGTATAAACACAAAACCCAGTCTCTCATTCGACTCATAAATATTCTCACTGAAATACCTGCATTCATGACCGCACTTAGGGGAGGAGCACTTGGTGCACGGATAATGACAGCCGACGCAGTCCAAGTTCAAGCAGTCGCAGAGATCGTCTGCCGTCTGCATGTAAATACCTTTTTCATCGTACAGGTGCTTTCTATGACCTTGATACAATCGACGATACAGCTTGCGCTTCTCCCTCTCGCTGTGTTCGGGATCGAAGTTCCGCAGGAATTTCTTCGACAGGCTGTCCACGGCCTTCTGTCGGGAGCCTCGTGTGCTCTTCTGCAAGCAAAGAGTCGATCGATCGAATTCGCGTGATCGTTGCAGCAGCCCGATGAATCGATCAACACGACAAACGCGCACTCACTCTCTCGCTGCGCGGCGGATTTCGCTCGGTGCTCGCTTGAGACGCGTTCACACTCGTGGAAGGGTTCGCCTCCATCTTTCTCCGTCTTTTGTTGCCGGTTTCTCTCTGTGCGACGTCTCGAAAAAAACGTTTCTCGCAGGCGTGTCTATTCAGAATATACGAAAAGACCCAGCGAAATTTCTCACATGAAACACTCGTTTCTTCACGTGTCACGACCGACGCATCGCAACGCGCTAACAGCTGATTGCAGCAAGAGCATTTTCCTACACTTTTTCGCACTTTCTATACTTTTCCGTACTTTTCTGCGCTTTTCTACACTTTTCGCCTTTTAAAGCGAAATAAGGGTGCTGCTTCGCGCAGAGCGCAGGAGGAAAAGCCGAAGTGTGCGAAAAGCCCATGTCAGACCACGGATTGGGAACTGAAATTGAATTTGGCCGATTAGTACAAAATTAATTGAATTCAAGTTTAGTGACATTTAGTGAACTTTACACTGATTGGTCAAATTTCCATTTAATCTCAATCTCCAATCCGTAGTCTAATACCGGCTAGAGTAAGTTCAAGAAGCACGTTAAATCACTGCATTCGGCGGAAAGAGCATTCGATCAGCGTTCAAACGTGATTGGCCGGACTGAGAGATACAAGGCGTTCGACTGATCATTCGATTGGTAGATTCGGAAGCTTAATGATCAAACGTCAATCACCATTCTCAATTATCACGTAGATTTTATATTCCCGCTGGATGCGCGCGATCGTTGATTCAAGAGATGCGCGTAGAGTTTTCTCCGAGATTCATGCGAAGAGGATCGTCTCGTAAGAGAATTGACGGTCGAAGTGGTCCTTGCGACAATTTGAAAGTGCGCTTTCGTGCGCGCCTCGAAGTTGGGTTAGGTCGGAACGCCGCTTCGCGTGCGTTGCTTCAATTTCTGACGTTTCGCAAACCACGTCGTGCTGTGAACGGCACTCGGACGATTCGGACTCGCTGTGATGCACTTTTTTCACAACCAACTGCCGGACTACTCGACACGAGGGGTTCGCCGATTGTTCGTTCACCAGGAGTCACGGATCGCTTATTCAGAGCACGATTCCGGGTAAAAAAGCGGAATCATGTGACAGCAGCGTTTGCACGCCGAGCTCGATTGATTCCCGAACGACGAATCTAGGCAAATCGCCGAACAGCAGCCGAGATGGCCAAACAATCGCAGTACAGTATTGTGGAATATTACGCGGAACACGAGGGCTACAAGTGCGGTTATTGCAAAAGCCCCGACACGAATTTCAGTCACGGTGAGTATCTTTCGTCTAGATAAACTGAAAGCGAAATCATCTTCGTACCATCTAAGATACATTTTTCGGTATTTCATCGCATCTTCGTACGTACGTGTATTTAGACGTGCGTAAGTATATCACGACGAACATGTATTTAACGTGTGTTAAAAATAACTAGCGATATTACATGATTAGCGATTAGTCGATGAGTTGAGTTGTTGTTTGTTTTATTCGCATTAGAATCCGGCATGGAAATGTTCATCTCTTGATGGTAACGGTTAATTTGTTTATTGTTTGTTATTAATTTCTGCGTTGTTGTTAGGCATATGGGCGCATTCGTTAACGGTACAAGATTATCAGAGCCTGATCGACAGAGGATGGAGACGAAGCGGCAGTTACTGTTACAAACCCACAATGCAGCAAACCTGTTGTCCACTTTATACCATTAAGTAAGCGATATCTCTTTTGATTCGGTTTAATTCAACACAATAGATGGTCTTTTAGTTATTTAACAGCGATAGAAGCATCTGAGATATCACATATGGATATTCAGCAAAGCATGAAGCTTACATAAGATTTAATAATGATTTTTTTTCAGATGTGAAGCATTGGATTTCAGAATATCAAAGTCTCAGAAGAAAGTCTTGAAGCGCATAGTGAAGTTTTTGAGAAAGGAATGGACGAACGACAATTTTGCAGATCTGGACGAGGGTCAGCAAGATAATATAGGTGGAGTTTACGGGATTCTAACTAATAATTGGTCTATTTTTTTTCATTGGATTGGCTTGGCATCAGTTAGAGAAATATTCATAACCATTGAAGTGTGTGAAGTGTACGTACGAGATTTTCATATATGTATATATGTATATATGTATTTATCGAACTTGTGCAGCCAGTTAAACTAGAAAAGACAGACCAAATAATAAGTCCTAGAAGACCTGTTTGGCAATTTCATACTGTATTTGTGACATCAACGATTGCAGATATAAATAATGAGGAGGTGTTGAATTATGCGAAGCATCATAAGAGAGCGCAGAAAAACGCTTCTAAGATGAATGTATCACTCGTCGACGATAAACTCGGTGACAGAATGCCGATTGATCCGGTAGACACAAGAACCGAAACTGCTTCTAGCACCTCAAGAAATCCTACTTCAGCTTCCAGTAGTGGCCAGAAGCAACTGGCGAATTCGGAGAGGAAGAGCGCTCCGCATTCTAGTGATGTTAAGACGGGACTTCGCAAGAAAGCGAAGCTGCTGCGCATAGAACGTAAGCAAAATAAGTTGTTAGCCCAGGGTAAGTCGCAGAGCGAGATCGAGAGCATCATGAGGGAGAAGAAGAGGCAGCAGCAGAATTGCGCCAAGAGCTTGGAAGAATTGTTCGACGAGGTGTACACCGGCATGCAAAAGTTGGAGGTAATAACACAACACATCGATAGTATCGATATTGAAACTGTCGCTTATCTCGTTCCTTCAATATCGGTTAACACCGTTCGCGATACACGGTCCTCTTTTCTCCAATTTCTGTCGTATTTACGGCGGACGATAAGTCCGATTCGATCGTACCGACAGTGTTCACCTTAGATCATTTCAGATTCATTTAGAGAGGGAGATGAGATGAAAATCCGAAAATTTCATCTCAGATGAGATGACTTGACTTTTGATTTATCTAAATGAAAGATACGATAAGTCGTGCTACTTGTCTAGATAATTTTCCAGATGATATATTGTTTTCATGAGAGACTTATAAAAATTTATAAGAATTACGCAAATGATAAAATTGCACCATCGTTAAGTAATTCGTCAATGTAGTCGCTCAAGTTTAAAGATCTAACAAAAAAGATCAATAATCATTGATTGCTCATTCACAGTCGACAGTTTGATACAGGCTTAAAGTAAATTGATCAATTAAAATAAATGGTCTGATCTTTTTAGTCGTACCGCTGAATTGGTGCAATAAGAGTAAGATAAGTATATTTTGTCTTGCTCTAACTTATTACACCAGTACAACTAAAAAGAACAAACCAAAGGAAAAAAAATCGAAATTTGTTGATTCGTTAAAATCTAATTCTCTAATCCTTATGGGCTGGTCTAAAAAAAAAGAGATAAGTCGTCATGAAACAACGAATGAATAAGATTAGTATTCGTAACGTGCGTCTTTATTTTATTTTTCAAGAATTACTTCCCGCAACATAACTTTATCATACATGGTTGAATTTGGCGCAACATAAGTTTTAATAAAATTTGAACATTTTTCCAAAATATTAAAAAAAATAATGAATGGTGGGGGCGTTCTGGAAAATATTACCATTTTTAAAAAATTCAGATACGCCATTGTAAAGTACATTCTCAATCATAAGACTTTGGTTTAAACATTTTTTTCATATTTCTTTCCGTTTCAATGATATTCGCTTCGAAATGTAAAAACAGATTTTTTATAGAGGGTTGTTTTCACCCCTAAAACCGTTTTTTTTAGCACCAGCAAAAAATCACTTTGTTATTAGGGCCTACTAGTCTATAATTATGCAAAGTTTCAGATTTTTTTGAATTTTCGCTGCCGAAAGCTCCTTGTAAGATAAAGGTGAATATTTTTCGTATTTATTCCATCTAGATAAACATAAAGGTAAATCGACTTATTCATCTGGATGATTATGTTAGATTAGATAATTTTCTCTAGAATGCGGCAAACGCTATGTACCGATAAGTAATTCCTATCCTAATACGCTGACTCTCATTGCATTCATTATTCGGCAGTCATTCTCGTATCGGATTTGTGTGTGTTAAGCTTATGATTTTTCTAAGCTGAGACTGGTTAGATCTGCGCCGACGAGCTCCGAATACCAAAAGACCTCGAAAAAGTCTTACGAAGTTTATAAAAAGTATCAGGCCACGATACACGGGACGCCGGCCGAGAAACTCACTGAGCAACGGTACGCGAGATTTCTCGTCAAGTCGCCTCTACAGGTAATACTTCCAACAAGGTGCCACTCTCATCTCGTCTCTCAGGGAAAAATCTGCCCGAAGAAGTGATAACTTTTGTTCGGAATAAGAACTGTCCAAAGTCAGAGGCACGCACGGTACTTGTTTTCACGCTGGATTGTCCCCCGGATGGAAATACTATGTTTCTAATTGTAGTGTGTTTCTATCCATTTTCGGAGATGCACCAATCAGAGCGCAGTATTTTCATCCAGCAAGTAATCCAGCGCGAAAACAAACACCGTGTGCCGTTGGCTTAAGTCGTCTGTTTCACGTTATGCTGCAAATAAGAAAAATGAAATATAAGGAAAATTTAGCAAACAGCTCAGATTATCTGTAAATATTTAGATTGCGGTCCGATTCTTATTTACAGCGCTATAAATGCCATTTTATCTATTGTTCATTGTACATGCCGGAGAAAGATAGAATGACACTTGCAGCGCTGTAAAGCAGGGTCTACAATAAGGATTTAAGCTTTAAACAATTGACCAATCATAATTGATCTTTCTTCTATAATTCGACTATGATTGGTCAATTTCTTAAGGCTTAGAGTAATAATAAATTTTCATTATAGACCCCGCTTAAGTTCTGGTCTACAATAAGTGTTTTAAGCTCTAAGCCTTAAGAAATTGACCAATCACAGTCGAATATGAGGAGAATAATCGACTGTGATTGGTCAATTTTTTAAATCTTATGCCTTAGATTCTCATTGTAGACCCCGCTCAAGTCCCGATCAATAATAGATGCTTTAAGCTCTGAGCCTTAAGAAATTGACCAATCACATCGTGTTATAGAAGAAAAACCAGTTATGATCCGTCAGTTTCTTAAATCTTACGCCTTAAATTATCATTGTAGACCCCGCTTTAAGCACGAATCAGACCACAACTTCTCACTTCGTAAGTTTGCATAGAGAACGCTGCAACAGACGACTATGTACTTTTGACTCGTTGATTTCACTCGCCGTCCTCCGCCGTGTATCGATGGATTTGATTAGCTCTGATGATGATTTAGTTCAAAATCGCTCAGTCGCCTATATGAATTGGAAAAAAAACATCGGTCTCGTGACAACCGGGCGCGCGATGTGCGAGGTACGCAAAGCTGTATGACGTCACGATTGGAGCAAAGTGGACCTTTTTCCTTCGATCGATCGAAGAACCAAAGATTCGGCATCCAACGGTGTCGACACTCCCTCGATTCATTGATTGAAGATCGCGGTAACGAATAATACCATCGACATATAATACTGGACGCAGCATTGGACCGAAATCGTATTGACAGATGTAGAAAGAGACAAGACGATGTATGGGCAGGGGCGACTCATAGAGTAACGGGGCCATTAAAATTCCACGAGGCATTTAAAATTCTATTAATTTAATTAATTTCTTTTATAACAATAAGAATACAGGATATAAAGATGTAAGGATGTAAGGAAAAAGGAAAAGTTGAAACGTAAAAATGTACATAGATTATATAACGTATATCATATCACTCGTGCATAATAACGTCAGGAATGTTCCTAATTTTTAAGAATACGATACTGTTCCTCTTCTCCTTAGACAAAATTCCACCAATGAACAGAGAGTGGAAAGAGAAATCCGTGCTTACACATCTAGCTCTCTCTTTCTAAATCTCTCGAAATACGAAAGAAATCTTGTCGCATACTTCGTCCAGGAATATATGCCGATGAATAATACCTTCGTTACCTGTTAAACGTAGCAGCAAATTTTCACAACGGTAAATTCACAAATTTTTACACGTTCTTCACCAAAAAGTTTTCTTTCTTTGTGAATTTGTCAGATGAGATTGGTGAGAGTGATGTCGGACGAGTTCCTCGACACTCTCGACACGAGCGCGAGCGTATACAAAAAGTATCAAATGGCGATACACGGCGATCCACCGGAGGAATGCGATCGAAAGTCATTCTTCAACTTTCTCGTAAAGAGTCCCTTACAGGTATACGTTTGTGTTTAGTCGTCTTTCGAATGATATTGAGAGATTCCTTCCGCGAATCCGCTTCTCCTTCGCGCTCTCACAGGCGAGGCAGCGCAGTGTTTGTGTATTCGCAAGTGTATTATCGTATATTATATGTATTATGGGGATGGGGCATTTAAATCGAGACATTTTAATATAACGAAAATAAAGCGAAATAGAAAGAAATGTTTCCGACAAAAATTGCGAGGTTTGGAGGGGGTCGTATTTTGGTAACTTAAAACTTCGTTGTATCGTCAATAATTCAAGGTTATTTCAATAGATCAACTTAATTCTTTTTAATGGAATTGTATAGTTTTTTTTTTTTTTTTCAGTACAAATCGATCTCTCTGTTTATTCTGTGTGTAAAAATGAACGAGATAATTGAAAAGTGAATACTTGTAAAGAGATATTTTATCTTTTATTCCGACGTTTTTCAATATAAGATATAAAATNATATATATATATATATATATATATATATATATATATATATATATATATATATATATATATATATATATATTCTTAAATACATTTATATATTTTCACTACTATATAGTATTTCTACGATATTACCAATGCAATTACCAGTAATAGTTTGATATTCGTTATTGTATTGTACGATATTGTTATATTCTGTGTGATGCTGCTAACATAATACTACTATTAGAACTTAATGGATACAAAGTAGCGAAGTAGCTGGCTGGAATGTGAATATATTTATATTACGTTGTATATTTTAAAGCCGTGGGTACCCGACAGCGGGGGACCGCCTCAGGGATATGGTTCCTTCCACGAGCAATATTGGCTGAACAACGAGTTAATAGCGGTCGGAGTGATCGACATCCTGCCGTCCTGCATCTCGAGCGTATACTTCTTCTACGACCCGGCTTACGGTCAGCTTTCTTTGGGGACTTTCAGGTCTGTGAAGCGGGCTCTACAATGAGAATTTAAACTCTAAGCCTTAAGAAATTGACCAATCACCATTGATCATTCTTCTATAATTCGATTGTGATTGGTCAATTTCTTAAGGCTTAAAGCATCTATTGTAGACTAGGACTAAAAGGTTCTCCTTTGGAACCGTCAACACACGGACATACGTTTCCGGATAAATCTGATGATAAACAATGTTGATTGCTGCGCAGTTCGTTGCGGGAGGTTTATCTGACGAGGCAACTGAGCAAAATCGCGCCCAGCCTGAAGTACTACTATATGGGCTTTTACGTTCACACGTGCCCGAAGATGCGATACAAGGCGAGAATGCGGCCGTCGAAGTTGCTGTGTCCCGAGACGTACGCGTGGCTCGACATCGATCCTTGCCTGGCGAAGCTGGACGACGAGAAGTACAGCCGTCTGAACGACGACATCGATGCCGTTGACAAGGACGGCGTGGTCGACCCTCGAGAGGTATCATTTATTTGCTTTGTGATTCCTCTCACCTATATCATTCAACTTTTCTGCTAATATACAGGGTGTCTCAAATCAATCTCGGTTCTAGTAGTGTGCAAGTGGGACCGGTGAAACTGAGCAAAAAAGTCCTGTGCCATTTTGCAAATGACACGTAAAATTTCGCGTTATCAATGATCGAAAACGGCCATGTATAGAGGCTTCTTTAATTAATAATTCAACGATTTGCATATTATTTGAAAAATAGTGAGAGACTTTCTTGTAATATATATATATTACAAGAAAAAGTGATCACGAATACTTTAGCAAATATAGCAAATTTCAGCGGCACCGTCAAGTCGAATTTCTCTTTGTTAATTTACGCAAAAGTGGTGTGTTTTCATCATTGAGGTAGTCCGTTTTTTTCTAGGTGTTAGTGTTGTACGACCAGATCGCGATGCCGTATGAGATTTACAAAACGCGACTGACGCACCAGATCACGCGCAAAGAGGAGCGCGAGGTGAAGGAATACGCCGGCCTCGTCGGGATGCCGTGTGCGCTGAGGATGCTTCTTTATCGCAGTTAGGGGAACGACCGTTCCTTCGGCGCGCGCGAGACCAACGAATGTCGTGAGCGTGTTTCGCGGACGATCGACTCGAAGGATCCGATCATTGGCAAATACTTCGAAATATCTCGCGTTAGTCGCTGATCACTATTAGCTGTGTTTGTGTACAAAGAATCGTCGAATTCGTGACTCTTAAGATAAATAAAAAATAGGGTAAGATTGGCCGCACGTTGGAGCGGTAATCTGCGAGCGCGATGCGATTAATCGGAAAGAACGAAAGGAATAATATAGCGATTATAATAAATTATGTGCAAAACGGCAGGGACCTTTTGTCTCTTTACCTTTTTTTCTTTCAGATTTTTGTCGATAAAATTTTTATTGCTGTATTCTGACTGTTTTTTTTTTCTTCATATTTTCCTAGTATCCCAGGGATAAGTGAACGTAAAAAAATCGCCAAAATACATATTTTGTTAATTGCCAAAGTGTTATAAATAATCGAATTAAGAAAAATGCGTTTTTTTTTTTCAGAGAAAATATATTTTCCAGCAGCTTTTCTAAAATTTAGGTGTTAAAATTTACATATAGGATATTTTGAGGTCGCTCATTAAGAATCTGATGTCAGAATTGAATGCTGGAGGAAAAATGTGTGCTTCATAGGGGTGAGCAATCCTCCAAAAGATATAATTTATTGTTCAAAAAAATTGTTAGATCATTTTTTTAAAATCACTTCTTTTCTTGAGAAGTTTCTCTTTCCCAGACTTGTTTCCCCGTTTTTTATGTCCTCGTTACGGTACGTTTTAACAGAATCGACCACTGCAGATAAATTCTACCCCATGAATACGTATCATTTTACACGCAGCGGGCTGTAAAATCATGTCTCAATGTTGGAGAACGCGCGCGCGCGCGCGCGCCTACGCTAATTAATTCGTTCACCCGAGTTAAATTGTGTGGTAATCGAACATCCGTCTCTAAAGGTCGTCGATTTGATCTCCGTTTTACCGTTAACCCGTCGGATCTCCCAGCACCTGTTAGCGAAACTGAAGAAGAATTCGCGATACGAGCGATTAAAAGTCGCTGCGAACATTTAGCATTTTCTTGTATCTATTTTTAAATCGCGATACGATGTATATATTTATACGTTTATGTATATAAACGGGTGTAACAGAGCCTCACCGCTACAAAGTTATGCCATTTTAGGAATATTACAGGAAAAAAATACACTACGTGGAATAAGGCTGTCAGTACAATCCGGATATATTTCGATATGATACACCGGACATATAAATAGGAAACAACGAATGCTCGCGAGTTTGCGATACGTTTATTATTTATTGTCGTTGAGAAAAAAACAACCGCATACTCGGTTATCTAGGTGATATCCGAAAAATTTCGTTCACCCGGAGTCCTCGAATTTGACATTGCATATATATATATAGAGAAAGAGAGAGAGAGAGAGAGAGAGAGAGAGAGAGAGAGAGAGATAGATAGATAGATAGGATATTGTTTTTTTTTTTTAAGATAAATCGATTTCTCTAGTTATCCAATAGTCCTGTAATATCTTATCGTTGTTAGATGGACACAATTGGTCAGTTCCGATGAACAGACTGAATTTAATCGATCGATTTGATTAACTCGTATTGGTGAAAGTGGACTTAATTCTTATATGTTATTCAGCGTCGGCACTTTGATGCCCGACGATCGATTTATCAACAGTTTTACAGTAATGAACAGCGGAAGAATAAGCGCTGCGTCGATGATGTGTGTGTTAGAAGGCGGGAAAAGACACGAACAGAATTAATGATTTATGCGAGTCATCAAAAATATTTTATTAATAAAACAAGTTACCTTATGAGCGCGTAATATTATTTAATATTGAGTGATATTCTGGTGTATTATTAGAATATTCTGGTATATTTTTAGAATATTAAACGTAATATTCTAGTAATATTATAATATTATTTAATATTAAGTAATATTTCTAGAATTTTAATAGATGATTATATATGTCCACTCTTAAAATATTAAAAAAAATAATATCAATGTTATTGTAATATTTTATATCTTTTAAATATTCAGCTCTATATATGCATATAATATATATAATTGTAGTTTTTTATTTCAAATGTGTATCGCAATACCAATTGTTTTATTATATAAATAAAGTCGAAATAATTTTGTGTAAAAATACATTTTATACTAAAAATATTATACATATATATATACAAGGTGGGCCATTTTAATCGACCCAGTCGAATATTTCGAAAACCAAGCCCGGGAGAGAAAAATTTTTCAGACAAAAGTTGTTTGGTTTCGAGGGGACCATAAGACGGTACCATTGGTTTGACCTTGAAGAATTATTTGAAAGTCACATGAAGGTCACCTCAATTTTTTTTAATGGCATCCTCTATTTTTTATTACATATNGAGGTCAGCTACAAGAATATGTAATAAAAAATAGAGGATGCCATTTAAAAAAATTGAGGTGACCTTCATGTGACTTGCAATAATTCTTCAAGGTCAAACCAATGGTACCGTCTTTATGGTCCCCTCGAAACCCTCAAACAACTTTTATTTGAAAAATTTTTCTCTCCCGGGCTTGGTTTTCGAAATATTCGACTGGGTCGATTAAAATGGCCCACCTTGTATATATATATATTTTTTTAAATATATATATATTTATATATATATATACTTTATTTGTATACATTCTTCTATGTTATTGTTATTTTATTTTTTTAATATTCTCAGAATATTTTTATAATACGTCAAGAATATTATGTGAAATGAACATATAACATCAATAGAACATTCCTATAATATTAAAAAATATTACATAACACTCTTAGAATATTATTTTAGTATTCAATAATTTTTATATAATATTCTAGTAATATTACACGCTTATAAGGGATATATATTCTACTCATCTCTCTCTCTCTCTCTTTCTCTCTCTCTGTGATTTTTTTGCTTTTTTAGCAAGCTTTTTCGCTTGCAATGTGATCAACATTGTCTAAGTCGAATTTATTAATTTTTTTATTTTTATCCTTGTCAAACATCTTTTAGACACTTTAACTTTGTTTTTCGTCCTTGCGATACTTTCTGCGCTGTCGTTCCATTCCAAAATTCAACTTAAAGATAATTGGAAAAGTGTCTTCACTGTAACACAGTTCGAAGGCCGAAAGATAGAAACCCGTCATTATTTTTCAGCGGTCTGCCGCGCTCTTTCTAGTTCTTGGTCGTCCGTCCTTTGAAATTGAATTTCGTTCCAACTTTGAATCTTACCGCTACCGCCGAACAGAAAGATCACCATGGACGCGATGCATACTCCTGCGCCTATCCAGAAAACCGTCTGCCATCTGTCGATTGGATTCTACCAAAACAGAGACGAATGAAATCAGTGTGAAAATCGGTCCATAAATCGTTATAAATATATGACGGAAGTTAAGGCTCCTAAGTAGTCGCTGCAACTTTGTTCGATGACGTCAGAAGCGAGGAAACGCACGTCAAGAATTTTTGTGTTTTACGTTCAAATGAAAAGACACACTCACAGAATGACATTTGTGATCGATTCGGTACACTTGTAAAATTGCCCGTTGCACTTTACTTTTATTCGGACAAGTAATAAACAAGTAATAAACAGTCGTGAAATTAACATTGACAAAATCATGAGAAAGGAGGTTAAAATGAAAATGGTTCTGTGTCAAATTAATTTTTGCAGCTGTTTATTGATTATTCGAATCAAAGTGCCACGGACAATTTTATAAGTGTACCGATTCGGTCACAAATGTCATTTTGCGAGTATATCTTTTTATTCGAATGTAAAACGCAAGAATTCGCGAATTGCGTTTTCTCGCTTTTTACGTCATCGAACAAGGACAGTTGCAGCGACTACCCAAGTCTTAAGTAATATTCCGGGTATATTATTAGAATATTAGATGCAATATTTTAGCAATATTATTTAATATCGAATAACACCTCTGGAACATTAATAGATGTTTTGTTGTAATAGATGTTAGGTTGTACTATGTATGTCGTGTCCCGACATCGTGGAAAAATTAAAATGAGGCGCATTTCGGATACGCAATCGAGTGCGCCGTTGCGCGTAATGATGGACGATCTTATGTTACGTAACGAAGCCCGGCGATTCCCGAGAGATCTCGGAATGCCGGAGGAAATGCGCACGTGACAAGATTTGTGGAATGAAGATATAAATTGGTGTGCGAAAAATCGGGGGAGGGGAGCAGGGGCGGAGGGGAGAGAGGGAGGGAGGAAACCGCTTTGGTCGAAATTCTTGCATAATGTCGCCGTCTATTCGCCTCCGCTTCCTCGATTAGATCGCGAGATGCGATGTCGCGATGTCGCAATTTGTATTATAAAAGAGAGAAAAAAAAGAAGAAAAATTGCACGACTGTGATTACAAAACGGATTACACACAGACAGAGACGACACGGCTGCGAGATTACGCAACAAGTGATTATTATTAAATTGCGCGAATGAACGTCCGACGAAGACGAAATGATCAAAATTTGATCGAATTAAGAGTAGCACAACGGACCGATTTCCCCCGCGAAATCGTGGAGCGGGTTTCGCTTCATCAATTTTTTCCGGTTTTTTTTCGCGGAAGCGTCGCACAAGCACGTCTTGATCTCGAAAATTGGGAATAGAATGCAATCTTCTCCATCTCGGCTTCAGAGTTCGTTCTTTTCTTTTTTTTTTTTGTAAAATTACTCAGATTGTGTCTAGTAAACGGTGTGACTATACGTACCCTATAAGCGTGTAATGTTATTTAACCCTTTGCACTCGAGGGCTCCGGAGCGAAGCCATTTAAAATTTGTCTTCAAACTCGAGGGCTCCGCTATGGAGACAATGCAAATAACTTTCAGTTCATAACATAAGGACAAAGATAAATCGTAAAAACTATTGTGTATAGGATATTCCGCTCTTGCTATTTGCATTTGAGTTTGAAGAGTTTGAAGACAAATTTTAAATGGCTCCGCTCCGGAGCCCTCGAGTGCAAAGGGTTAATATCAAGTAATATTTCTGAAATATTAATAAATGGTCATTCGTCCATTCGTAATAATATTTAAAAAATATTATTATTTAATGTTATTGTAATATTATATATCTTTAAAATATTCAATTCTATGTATATGTATAATATATATAATTGTAGTTTCTTACTTCAAATGTATATTGCAATATTGCAATTGTTTTATTATACAAATAAAGTCGAAAAAATTTAGTGTAAAAATACGTTTTATACTAAAAAAAAATTATACATGTATATATTTTTTATATTTTTTTAAATATTCTAAGAACATTTTTATAATAATAATATATTCTTATTATAATAATCTTATTATATTATATTATAATATAATATTCTTATTATAATAATGAAATAATATTAATAAAATATTTTATAATAAAATAAAAATAATAAAACTAATAATAATAATAATAAAATATTATAGGAATATTATTTTAATATTGAGTAATATTCATATAATATTCTAGGAATATTATACGCTTATAGGATAAAAATAAATTAATAAGATTTTTTCAAGAACGCGATCGCCACGAAGGTGTCATACTTACCCCGTATTTCCCAGCTATCTCCTCAACCATGGGCGGTATAATAATTCCGGAGCTGCTTCCGATCGTGTTCATGATACCGTAAAGAAAGCCAGCGAAGTTGGGTGCCAGATCTTGATTATTCGATAAATTTGCGATAATCGCGGCGCCGTTGAAACCTAGCGCGAATACCAAGCAAACATTCGCGAGCACTATGTCGCAGCCGACGTAACCGACTAGTATCAGGAAAACGCCAGGTAAAAAATGCGCTGAAAAGGTGAAAAACAACCGTACATGCGTTATTTTTAAAGTTGTACGTAGAGAGTCTTACGAGCTCTCGTTATGTCTTTATATTTCATGTTTATAATGTATCCTATGAATGAAGAAAGAAAAAGAGAGAGAGAGAGAGAGAGAGAGAGAGAGAGAGAGAGAGGAGTCATAAATATTTACTAATAGTTACCAAATATTTTATATATTATATATTAAGAATGGCAGTGAATGATTTCGTAATAATTACCGAACATCTAATAACAATTATCAAACATTTAACAACAGATGTTAAATATTCGGTAGCAATTGTTATTTTATTCAGTTGATTCAACTCTGAATATGAGTCATTCATACTGCGGGCCAACTAAATACTCGGTAATTAATATCAAATTTCACAACAGTGACCAAATATTCGGTCAAAATCTTTAACTAAGTGGTTTTGGTCATTATTACCAGTCTTCTTTTACGGTGCAGAATTATTATTAGAGTGGTAGGCTTCTTACAAAATATGGTGGCGATTTTTCGCAGAAGGGTGATGGATATGATATTTTTCCTCTTCACGGTGTCGCCTATCCAGCTGAAGACGAAACCGAATATCATCCTGCCAGCCCAGGGCGCGCCCGCCGCCGCGCCGCCCTTCGTCAATTGGAAACCCAGTGCTTTTGTTAAGTATAACATCAGGGAATTTTGATAGAAGAACAATAAGAAGAGATTCCCGAAGTGGCATATGATCAAACTGATGAACGGCACCGACGTCATTATTTTCTTCATCGGCGTCTGCTTCCACGTGGGTTTCTCAGTACGGACTATTCCTGCTTGCGCGCTTGTGAAAAAGAGAATGAAGGAAAATAATCGTTAAATCGATCGTCAGACTGGCTTTCCGTCGTCACACCGAAGTTAATTCGTATTTAAGGACAAATCGGAAGTCGCTTCGGGTGAAACGACGGGGAAGAAATCAGCCCATACAGCGCAGAGATTTGCGGTAACATTGCTCAACATTGCATATTGCAGGACGATATTGCCAGTGTTTGCCGGTATCTAGATACAATTATCTAAATAATCATCCAGATGAATAAATGGAACATCCTTATCTTTATCGAGATGGAAGAAATACAAAATATATTCATTTCCATCTTAGATATGAGAAACATATTATCTCATCTAAAAATTATCTGAAATTATGTTACGGTACATATTTTGAACTCACTTTTCGATCAAATGAATGAAATTATATGGACCTATGCGTTAAGCCCGTGTCAAACTAGAAATTGGAGATTAGATTCCAACGAATCCACAAATTTCGGTTTTGTCTCCTTCGGTCTGTTCTTTTCAGCTGCACCGGTTCAGCAGTGCAATTAAAAAGAACAAACCACTCGATTCAATCGATTAATCCACTTTAAGCCCGCATCAAACTGTCGACCGAATGAGTGACTTTTGTTCTTTTTCGTCAGATCCTTAAATTCCGAGCGATCACGTTGACGAATTACTTATAAACCTTTGTGCAATTTCAAGTGATCTGCGTGATTCTTATTACAAACTTTGATAAAGTCTCCCATGAAAACGGCATCATCTAAAAAAGCTATCTAGATAACCAGCACCGCTTATCTTTCATCTGCAGATAAATCCAAAGTAAAATCATCTTCCCCTCGTCAGAGACGAATTTTGCGGATTTTCATCTCATCTCCGTCTAGATGAGCACGAAATCATCTGAGGCAAACACTGATCGCGAATAAACAGATCATAGACGGGTGGATTGTCACGATTAGCTTGATCGATCACTGACCTCCCTCACTACCTACGTCCTCCTCCCTCAACTCACTTCAATATGTAATCCCTCTCCGCAGGCGTGATCCCCGGGTGCTCCGAGGGCGAATCGTACGCAATCGCCGCCCAAACGACGATCCACACGAGCATCAGCAGGGACGGAATGTACCAGGCTGACTCCCAGTCCATCGTCTCGGCGATGGCGGCCACCATGGGGTACGTTAATATCGTGCCGAAGGTGCCTCCGAGCAGAGACCAGACGAAGCGTGACTTCTCGTTCGGCGGTGCCCACTTCGCCACCATCGTGTGTCCGGCGGGAAAGATGACGCCGCCGGTGACGCCGATGATGATCCTCGAGAAGAAGAGCACGAGCCAGTGAAACTGGGCGAGCAGTGGGCTCACCAGTGACACCAGAGCGGCCAACAGCGACGTCCAGAGAACCGCCCGGCGCGGCCCGTAGCGCAGCGACAGCCAGCCGCCGATGAAGTTGCCCGGCACGTTGCCGTAGCCGTAAGCGGCGATCAGTTGGCCCCGTATATTCGGGGTCCAATCGAAGGGCTGACCGCCGAACAGCCGGATGGGAGCGTTCGGCGGACGCACCTCTAATTGGGCTTGCCGACGATATCGAGACTCCGCTCGCTTCAGCTCGAGCTCTTCCATGATTTGGTTCTCCAGGTAGCCGGCTGGGTCGAGCGCGTCGAAGATGATGGAGCGTCGTGACCGGATTATTTCTTCATCGAACACGCAAACGCCGGCGGTGAGGTTGTTGAGTCCCGGCGCGTCCCGGATCATCGGCACCACCAGGATCGGCATCTGCAGACGGCACATGTAGCTGGTCCAGCAGGCGGTGAAGGTCATCACGCACATGAGAATCCGCATGGGGATCCATCCTGTCGAGGGTGAAGTTGAAAGTCGGGTTGTGAGACACGTTAATTCTTGGTTCTGCGCGAAGCTAAGGCGAACCCAGGCAAGCCGGAGATTCAGAAAATTCCGAACCATCCTGAGGTTCTGAATTCCAACGGAATTCAGTTCAGTTTCCCGAGCAGCACATTCTTCACGTCGGATAACATGTTTCCCTTTTATTTCCATCCAAACGTAATAATGGTTGTCACGAATTCAATCAATTATTTGCAAGAAATAACGTTACATCAGAAAAATATTAAAGAACTTCTTAGCTTCGGTAGGACAATATTTAATATATAATAAATTATATTTTTAATTTAAATTTCTCTTTTATTTGAAATCGAACGTTATTTCCTCGGAATAATACTATTTTTTCTATCAAACGGCATCATTTATTCTAACGAAGCAACATTTCCGTTCAGACAAAATGATATTTCATATGAAATTATGTCGTTTATGTTAAATAAACTCAAGTTAAACAAACACATATATTGAATTTAAAAAATCTTTTCTTCTATATTGTATATTGTATTATAAACAGCAACGAAGATTCTAAGGAAGGACGTTGATCGGCCGTTCTTTGATTCTCCTCCAATCGTAAGAAAAACCACGAAGAGGAAAACCTCATTATGTGATTGAACAGGGACTGAATAAACCTAAGAACTTGATGACGAAGACGATATTTCTGTCACTGCGACCGAGAAAATTCGTCTGAACATTTGGCCTCAAAACTCGATCGGAAAGAACGATTAACACGTTCGCCACCAGAATTTATTTGGGAGACTCTCTAAAGAGACTGTATCGTATTTTTTTTTACATAATTGCGTACAGAATTATTATAGCATTTTTACGTAATTATACAGGGTGTCCCAAACTAATTCCGGTTCATAGAATAGAACATTTTTACATTGTCTCGTTTTTACATTCTACTCGTGACTAAGCTCGAGAAATTGTTCTGTTTCAAAGAGAAGGATACGAATAAGTGGGAATTATATTTGGAATAGAAATTGGTAATTAATGTCTATGAATAGAACCTTCGTCCTATTAATGAGAAAAAAATTTCGGGGAAGTTTAAAGAAGCATAAGAGAAAAAAAGTGGGAACAAGCTGGTTCGATAAGCGCGTACTGAGAGAAAAATATAGTTATTTTCAAGGATAACAATATCCTTTTTTTCATTTTTACTACAAAAATAGTCGAGAGAACTATTTTTCGAGTAAGTATTACACTTATAAGCGCATAATATTGTTTAATATTAAGTAATATTCTGGGCATATTTTTATTTTTATTTAATATTAAACTTAATATTCTAATAATATTCTAGTAATATTATTTAATATTAAGTAATATTTCTGGAATATTAATCGATGGTTTATATGCCCACTTTTAATAATATAAAAAAAAAATATTATTTAATATCATTATTTAATATNTTTTTTATAACCAAAAAAATATATATATTTTTTTATTTATATATATTTTTCTATATTATTATTATTTTATTCCCTTTTTAATATTCTAACAACATTTTTATAATATGCCAATAATATTATTTAAAATGGATATATAATGTTAATAGAACATTCCTGTAATATTAACAAATATTACATAACATTCTTAGAATATTATAGGAATATTATTTTATTTGAGAAAAGAAAAGAAGAGAAAAGAAGAAAGAAATTATTTTCCATTTCATTCGTCATGGCTTAAAAAAAGCATCGAAAATACCAAGCGACGTTTAATATTGAATAATATTGAATAATATTCACATAATATTCTAGGAATATTACGCGCTTATAGAGACTATGATGTCGGTGATAATAACCTTAATAATATTGATGTTGCCACCGCTATTTTCGTGTGGTTAAAATAAAAGTAAAGAAAAAGAAAGATATTGTCGTCCTCGGAAGTAACTAAATATTTTTCTTTCAGTGCGCTTAATTTCACCACCGTTTTTCATCTCCGTGCACCACCGTCAAGAAAACGTGTCGACGCTCCCGTAACGCGTAATCGCACTTACGTAAATATTCCCATAAAAACGAGAAGCGGGCTGAGAACACAGTTTCGCGTAATCGGCGCATTTGGTAGCCTTTATTAAATGAAACGTCAACGTGGTTCGTATTCGAAGAGGAAGCAGACGGAATCTGTATGTACAGAGATGGAGCAGCCAGTTACCATGCCAACTGGATACGGTTGATTTGGCATTTTTACGAGGCATCCTCGAGCATCCGTTCGTTTGGTTCACCGTTCGATTCTAATTGTTTCTAATTGTTTTGTGTGCGCGGCACGCTCGGTTTACCGAAACCGTTATCGCGTCGCTCCCTTCATGTGTGCGCGCAGTAAGCGGGAATTACGCGGAATTACGTGAATTTGATGTTTGAACAACTGCTGGATACCTTTTGTTTTCGCAAGCGAAGAGGAGTCGGAGTCGGATCTACTCGCCAATTTACCCGATAATAATAATTCGTACAGTCGACTTTATAGATGCTACACCGCTTCCTAGATCGAAATTTACACCATTTCCATTGCTTTCTACATATACAAAGTCAAAACCGTTATAATTATAACCTATCGTTATAATTATAGTTACTTGTGCGATTTTCGATCTTATGGTTTTGCACAAAGTTGAAAATTGTGTACTTTCTCGTTTGAGGAATGATATTAATTAATAAGTATTAATTAATAAAATTGATTAATAATAAAGTATTAATAAATGTATAAATTAATAATGGTTTAAGTAATAGCATAACGCCAGACTTGGGGAAATTTTTTTTGAAATAATAAGAAATAAATAAATTTACAAATACCACCTTTTATCGAAGAGTCTTAAAATAATGACATATTTATTTAAATAATATTTATTTAAATAAATAAAAATAATTTATTTGTCATTTGCATCGTTCGTTATTCGCGTGATTAATTACTCATCATTTATTATATATTTACCTTGTTTATTCTCTGTTTATTTTACTATGTGTAATGAAATAAATATTATATATAATATAATAAAAATTTATTACATATAAATTTATTATATATAATACGATATAATAAATAAATAATAAATGCTTTCTATAAAAAATTGCTTGATTTAATATATTATTAGGATAGTGATATAATGATTGCATAATATATTAAAGTTACAATATAACGAAATGAGTTCACATACACGCACATACCCTCTACAGAAAAATAATACTGCCCAGTAAACGCCAACTAACAATAACATAACATTAATATTATAACTTCTCAATGTTACTGTAATATAACGCGCGTGTTATGTAACAGTTACATTGTTAAGTGGGAAATTATAACATTGATATTATGCTACTGTTAATTAGGTGTCCACCGGGTGGCTAGGACAAATTGATCAGTGATAAATTATTATTGCTCAGTAGTTTTATTACTCGTACGAGTAATAAAACTACTATTTATCACTGACCAATTTACCACAGCCAGTAAGGCTGTAAGATACATTTCTGTAAGAGATACGAATGCGCGTACACACAAATGATAAATGATAAATAACAAATAACAAATAATGGAAAACATGCGAGTACTTATAGAAATATGAATAACGTAAATGACATATGACGCAAATAACGAATAAAATTTTATCTTAATAGCGCATTAAAAAAAAACATTTATTCGAACAATGCTTCTATTCATAGAAGCTAGAAGATAGAAATCGATTACCAATTTCTATTCCAAATACAATTTCCACTTATTCGTATCTTTCTCTTTGAAACAGAACAATTTCTCAAGCTTAGTTCTGAGAGAACGTGAAAATATTGCAATGCTCAATTCTGCGTATTGATCATAATAACTTTTCCCCTTAGGCGGAAACGTGAAAAGTGACATGTTCAAATTAGAAAATTAACACTTTTCACGAGTTCACACTAGAGAGGAAGATTCATGACTTGGGAATCGATCACGAATCTTATCTTCGGATAAATTCTCATCTTCCAGTCTGAATTCGCGAAGTGTAAATTTTCTGATTTGGAAATATTTCAATTCACGTTTTTCGACACACGAAATCGGACATTATTCGAATAAATTTTTATATACAGGGCGTCCCAAACTAATTTCGGTTCTCATGGTGTGCAAGTAGAACGGGTGAAACTGAGGAGAAAAGTATCCTAAATCATTTTGCAAATAACACGCAAAATTTCGAGTAATCAACGATTGAAAATGGTCATTTACAGAGGCTTCTTTAATTGATAACTGAAAAATTCGCGTGTTGTTTGCAAAATGATAAAAAACTGTTTTGTTCAGAGTGGCGTGATCCATAAATATATGACAATTGTTGTACCTAACGAAAGACATCAGTATATTGAATTTTGATCCTTGAACCTTAGATTTGTCGTTAGGTACAATAGTTGTCATATATTTATAGGTTAGATTATTCGGAACAAAAAAGTCTGTCACCATTTTGCAATTAACACGCAAATTGTTGAGTTATTAATTAACGAAGCCTCTGTACACGGCTATTTTCAATCATTGGTAACTCGAAACTTTGCGTGTTATTTGGTAAAATGGTGTAAGATTTTTTCGCTCAGTTTCACCTGTTCTACTTGCACACCGCGGGAACCGAGATTAATTTGAGACACTATGTATATTTAGTGCGTCATTAAAATAACATTTTATTGGGGGGAAGGTTACGAGGAAAAATTCAGAGAATTTAGGGGGAAATCTATCAGGGGAAAGTCACGTGATCGATATTCCGCAGGACGTCGACTGTAATACACACTACAGATCGATCACTATTATACTTCCGATTGTTTTGCTATTTTGCGCAAATGCGCTGTTTGGGAGTGAAAATGAAGTTTCGTGAGTCTCCTCGCGTTTGTCATGCACACACTTGCCATAATGATTCATACACACACACAACACACGCGCGCGCACGCACGCGCGTCAAATCACGTGAGCGAGAAATTCGAGAATTCGGCTGGAGAAATAGGCCCAGCGTTGTGTATCTAATTAAAACGAG